GTTGCTATTTATTAAACTAGCTTTTGACCACTTGATTTGTTGGCTTCTGTCATGGCCAATTGCCTAGCAGTTTGGGCTCACCTGGGATTTGAGAAGTGAGTTAGTTAACCTTTGCTTGCCCTTGGAACTACCAGTGGACCTGAATTCCAGACTAGATAGATGGGTTGCTTCTCTGTTGAGGGGCCTCTTAAACTCCTGTGTGAGAACAGGTTTGGTCTTCTCTGGGTTAGTGGGGGGGGGGGGGGTGTGGATTGCATCAGAGTTGAACTCTTATAAGGTGGTAATTGCCTTACTATTCTCCTGCAGTTCTCTTCTGCCTTGGATGCTCAGTAGAGCTGAGAATAAATGGATAAAAATGGGTCCTTTGGATGTTTGACTATGACGTTTTCATCTCATAATCTCTCTAGGGCTTCTGTTTAATTCTTTGTCCCTTGATAAATAAACATATTGTCACGGCCAATCCTAGTCCTTGCAAAACACCTCTCTCATTGTTTGATCTTTGTGCTCTGTCTTCTACTTTCTACTCCTGCACTGCTCTCTGGCCCAGTGGTGGAGCACTTAGGGGGAGACATTGCACAGATGCTGGTGGTCTTAAGCCAAGACACCTTATCACTAAGTCAGTGTGGTCCAGGCTTAAAGTCTAAGATTGGCCAGCTGAGTCTCCTGGTAACCCAAGGAATCCCTGTCCCTTTCTTTTGTCTTCAAAGTGGCAAAGAAAAGATTTGTGGTAACAGCAGGTAGTGTGCTGAGCATAGTCTCCAGGGAGGAAGTAGAGTGCTCAGACAGCCTTGATTGGGTGGTAGTGGGTCTGACCGTGGGAGATGCTCTGCCTGGTTGGTGTTATAGCTCTTAAGAGTCAGAAGACAAGGACTGAAGAGATGGCTCAGTGGTTAAGAACACTGGCTACTCTTGCAAAGGACCTAGGTTTGGTTCCCAGCACCCACATGGAGGCTAATAACTGTCTCTAACTCCAGTTTCAGAGAATCCAGTGCCCTCTTCTGATCTCCTCAGGCGCTACAGGACACAGGTGCACCTACCTACATGGAGGCAATATACTCACACATCAAATTAAAAAACAAAAGTGTTCTTCAGGGAGTTTCTACTCCTTTTACCCATGTGACTATGGGCATGCGAGGCTACTCCTTTCTGTCTTAACTGCCCTTAACCTTTTCAGTGGGAGTCTGACACAATCTCTCCTCAATTCAAGTGACTAAAATTGTTAGGAAGAACAGTAGGCATGCTTAAATCTTAGTGCACATGTGTGTAGGGGGAGGGTGGCGGGGGGGGGGCAGATGTCCTTGGAATTTCCTGGATTGCAATTGAGTCTTGAGTTTTATCTGAGTTAGGGACCCTTAAAGTTCTATGAAGTTAAACTTTTACTAAGCAGATGGAGGTGCCAAGTCTTTCAGCCTGTGGGGGCAGGGTTGGGGATGCTGGTGGCGACTGTGGGGTTTGGAGTTGTGAGATGTGCAGCCAGGGCCTTTTATTTTCAAAAGCACACACTCCCCAGTTGTAAAGGCAAGAAAGTCTGGGTGAAAAGACCTGGTGTACTGCTGAAGAATTCTGACCTAAGAACACTGTGGCCTGGCCCTCAGGCAGTCTAGCTCTGAGGCAAAGGGAAGCCTGGGGCCTGGTGGGGAGGGGAGGGGAGGGGAGTGGGCTGTGCTCTCCCCCAGGCACATTTTCTTCTTTTTATTAGTCACTTCTGTGGACAGGCCATTCTCTTCTGTGACCCTGTAAAATTTCCTCCCCCAACACAAAATAGACTATCCCATTTCATTGCCTGGAAAGACCTACCATCACCCAATGAGCCCGCCATGTGCTTCTGTGCCCACCCTCACCAGCACCTCTAGTGCTTTGAAGGACTAAAGGGGTTAGAGTCAAGTGGATATCAAGGAGAAGAGCAGAGCTGGCCAACCTAGACTTTAAACCCAAACCACATTGACTTAGTGATAGGATGCTCCTTGGCTTGAGATATGTTCCTCTGAAACTTAGACCCCTAAGTTTCTTTGTACTGTAGGAAAGTGTCATTGTGCACTTGAACTGAAAAGTAAAGTTACCAGCAGAAGTGTATGTGAAGAGTAAGAGGCTAGACCTCATCTTTTAGGGGTCTTCCTCTTGAGTATACTTGGGTAATGGGACAATCCTGGTTTGGGCCTTGAGGCCCCCTTCATGAGCTGTACCAAGCAAAGGATTGGATGAAATATTTGAAATACCCTGGGTAGGTACCAAGTCATAGATGGGTAGAGGGGACCTTTGAGATTTTCCCATCCTAACCTTAGAGGAAGTTGACAGACCCCAAGGAAAAGTACCTTCCACAGGGTCCTGGGGTAGTAGAGCTGAGTTAGAACTCCAGTCTCTGGATTCCCAGTTGGGAGCTTCAAGTTCTGAGAGTCCAGATCCTCACAATTCATTAGCTATGTGGCACAGAGTTAAATTGTGCTATTTCTCTTAGCCATATGCATTCATGAATCTGAGGGTTCTCTCCTTATCATGTAATATGTTTCTGTATTGACATTCCATTTTTGTCCCCATACTTTTCCATTCCCCTTCAAATGTCTTCCCTGCTAAGAAGCTTTTAATAGTTTCCTTCAACAAAAAGGATATTTTCATGGAATTGTATGTAATTATAACATTCTGTTCTGTGAAATCCCAGATGAAAGTGCTAATGCATGCAGAAGGTAGTTATGGACTAGTATATATTGAAATGTAAGCCAAGAAGTAGGAGTATCAGGCTCACTTGAAGATTTGTGTCTTCATTGTTCAAACTTGTAGTATATTACCAAAATACCTATTGAAGTCAATTTCAAGACAAACCATAACAGGAACTAAGTAATTTCCTTTAATTCACTAAAAAATAAAGGGGTGTATTACTTTGTTGATGTACATGAAAGAACATTATAACTTGTAGTACCATGTATTGACGTCAGCTTCCGAAATTTAAAATGCTGACTGAATGTGTTTGTGTTTATGTGAGAGGTGGGTGGAAGGCAAATAAAAAAGTTATTTCCCCTGCTTTGTTAGTCACAAAGAATAAATAATAACAGTTGGCTCTCTAGAGCATTCAGGGCTGTAATTCTCCTTCGACACTTCTCTGTGTAAGAAAGCATTGCATCGAGTTCTCCTAGCCCACCTTGGAGCACCTGCTTACAATCATTTCTCTGCTTCCCATTTTAACCCTAATTTATGCATCAGAATGGCCTAAATTTTTACGTACCTTTAAAAGATTTCTTTTTGGGAACATACCTCAAATGCTAGTTACCCTGTAGTATTCATTCACAAAACTGAGTCCATTTACCCTTGAAATCTTGCCTGTTGGTTGTTTATTCATCGAGCCTTTGTTTGCTTGTTTTGAGACAGGGTCTCATTCTGCAGCTCAGGCTGGCCTAGAACTCTCAAAGATTCTTCTATCTCAGAATCCTCAGTGTTGTTGTTGCAGGTGTGAACCACCATGCCTGACTATCAGCAGGTGTGTTTTAGGCCCTTATTGCCTGCAGCCTGGAGGTGCTTCCGACACAGGAGTGAAGAGCGAGTCTCTGCCTCTGTGGCCCTCACCCTGGAGGGTCACTGAACAGTGATAGCAGATTACCAGGAGTGGAGCTGACTGGCGGGACTCTTTTTGTACCTTCTCTCTCACCTCTTATTGCACTGTGGAAGAGTCCTCTTCTGGGTAACCAGGCTGCTGTAGTCTAATTTCACCTCTGCCTAAGTGGTAGATAAGGGAATCACTTAGGGTATGCCATTCTGTGTTTTGTGAGACCGACACCAAAATGTTTCTCTATGTATGTGTGTGCCTGCAAGACAAGTCCAGAATACAAAACAAGTATTATAGTGGTATTCTGCTATCACACTAGGCTCTTTGATCCTCTACCATTTTATTCACTCATTTTGACTCATATGTAAGAGGTAGTAGTAACTACTCCTTCAGTCATTTTCCAGTGGAATGTCAAGAAGCATTGGAGGGTGGAAGTAAGAACCAGATGTCTGATAAAGTGCATTGTTAGCTACCCCCAAGTTAAATGGTGGGTGATGGAGTCCTGTTCTGTTGAGGCTGGAGAAATCAAATCTTCCCTTAGGTCTCAGCCCAGGCACAGATAACTACACACCCAGGGATCCTTGACAAGGAGCCTAGCGCCTGTCACCAGCCTTAATGGTCCAAGTGATCTCTAGTTCTGTTATTTACTGAGAAAGAGGACCACATCTTTGATTGTCCCTCATGATCACTTCAGGGCCAGTGGAAGTGGCGGGGCAATAAAGGTAAATAGGAGTAAGAAGAGTGCCTGCTTTGTGCCAGGCATGCAGCTGCGTGGTTTTTGTGGTTTTTTTTTTTTTTTTTTTTTTTTTTTTTTTATATGTGCTGTCACATCTAACTCTGAGAAGTATCTGGGAACACACCTAGTAGTTGCATTTGTGGGTATTTGAACCCATATTTATCTGATTTCCCCATAATTGGGACTTCACTTTTATTCTCAACGGATGGAATTGTGGAATTTTTCTTCTTTTAACTATCTAGAATTCTCAGTGAAGTTTGATTGCTTGTTGGCTTATGAAACTTGGTTGGATATTTTTTAAAAAGGATTTTCTACTCTAGTGGCTTAGGGAGAGTGAGTGGAGGTGGGGGTAGGGAGTTGGGGTTTAGTGACTTCTAAGGTATCTTACCCGTCTACAATGGAGAGCATCTGTTGTCTTTAGTAATAAATTTCAGACTTGTTTAGATTCTGCTTATGTGTTAAGTTTCAGTTTCTTTAGTGAGTCTTTTTGTGTCTTGGATGATTTATCTTTCTGGGGAATCACTTAGAGTATTTTTTTTTAAACAAGTGGTCTTCATAAAGACTGGGGCTGACAGATATATATCAAATTCATTTAAACATCTGGAGTAGGCAGAGCAGTTCTGTTTGATGTTAGTTACAGAAATGGCACCATCAAATGCTAACAACTATTTCATTCTGATCTTAACATTATGTCTGAAACACTTCTTTCTTTTCTCCTCTTCAACTTAGAGTCACTCTGCTGACCAGCAGAGACAGAAGAAGTAGATGTCCACACCCACAGACCCGGCTGCAATGCCCCATCCAGGGCCTTCACCAGGGCCTGGACCTTCCCCTGGACCAATTCTGGGGCCTAGTCCAGGACCAGGACCATCCCCAGGTTCCGTGCACAGTATGATGGGGCCCAGTCCTGGACCTCCCAGTGTCTCACACCCTTTACCAACAATGGGCTCTTCGGAATTCCCTCAGGAAGGCATGCATCAACTGCATAAGGTAAGATTTGCCCTGCCTCTCCCTTCCCAAGTGTGGCTGGATAGCATTCCTGATGACTCTCATGCTTTCTCTACTGTTAACACTAATTTCTAGCTAGAGTCTCCTGTTATCTTACATATTATTGAAGAAACATGGAGACTGAAGCAAGTGGATAGTGCATTTGAGGCCAACCTGGACTACATTAGGAGACTCTGTCCCAAGAAACAAAACAAACCCCAAACAAAAAAACAACCCCAAACTGACATAAAGCATACAGGTAGCCCAGTAATAAATGACTTTTTAAAATACTGAGGTTGACATGAGGTTTGTGATTGGTGCATTCAAGGTATTTTGGCTTAGTGAATGAGTGTATTAGTGAATAAATTCTATATTTATTTTTTATGTGTAAGAGTGTTATGTCTGCATGTAAGTGTACCCGTGTCATGCAGTGCCTGTGAAGGGCAGAAGAGGGCATCAGATCCCCTGGAACTGGAGTTATAGATGGTTGTTAGCCACCATGTGGGTGCTGGGATTTGAACCTGTGTCTTCTGCAAGAACAGACAATGCTCTTAACTGCTGAGCCATCTCTGCAGCCTCATATTAGTGAATAAAACTTTTTTTCTATCCCTGCTAAGTAATTTACACCACCTGCAAATCAATATATTGAAAATTATTCTTCCCTAAAAACGTTGAAATTTATTTGAAAAAATTAGAGCCCTTACAGTGAAAGGAAAGAGTCATTTTCTAAATATATTTTTAGGGGCTGGAGAGATGACTAAGCACTTGCTACTTTTGCAGAGGACTAGAGTTCAGTTCCCCCATACCCATGTTAGGTGGGTCATAATTGCCTCTAATTCTAGCTCCAGGGCATCCGATGCCCTCTTTGGCCTCCAAAGGCACCTACATGTACCTGTACATATATACATAAATTCAACACACAGAAACACATATGTTTTTTAAAAAATCTTTACAAAGCATGAATATGTCCTCTGAATAGAGGACTACATTGAAATTAAGTAGGGAATATTTACTTATTTTTTGGTTTACTGAGACAAAGTGTTGCTGTGTAGCTTAGACCAGCCTCAAACATACAACCATCCTTCTGCCTCAGCCTTGAGTACTGTGAATGAGCCACTCTGCCTGGCTCTGGAGAGAATCTTTACAATGCACATGACTTTTGTGAAGCAGTGTTATTCTGGTTCAGAAGAGATGCTGATTTTGTAGTGCTAGTCCAGCTGTTCATTTCTAGACTAAGTTTCTAATGAGCCTCTTATTTATGAGACTCAGATATTTGCTGTGAGGATGATCACATTGGTCCCGTTTGGCATTATGGCCTTTCATGAGACACTAAGAAGAGAGAACAGCCTTTTGAGAGAAATCCTCTGTGACAGTTGTTTTGAAGGTTAGCAATACATCAAAGAAAATCTTAACAGGAGGTTGTGTGTTACCTGAAGGCTTGCCCTCATGAGAGGAGAACAGGTTTTACACTCCTTTGGATGACATCACAGGTGGTGCTACCTGCTCCATATTCAGCAGGTACATTAAGGTTCTCTAGAGAAACAACCAATGGGAGGCATATCATGTAATTCTGGAAGCTGAGAAGTCCCACAGTCTGCAGGCAGCAGGTTGGAAACCCATTGGAGCCAGTAGTTTAGCTCCAATCTAAGTCTAAAGGCTTGGGAACCAGAAGAGTCAATATTGTAAGCCCTAGTTTGAGGGCAGAAGACCAACTTCCCAGCCTAAAGACAAACTTAGTCCCTATCCTTGCCTTTTAGTGGTATTCCTTGGACTTTCAGGAATGACTGGAATGATACTGGCTAGTAGGGGAGGGCAATCTGCTTCCTTCAGTCAACTAATTCAAAGGCCAATCTCATCCAGAAACACAGTCCCAGACATACCCAGAAATAATGTTTAACCGGGTACAAATACCTGGAGACCTGTGGTCTGGTCAAACTGACACATAAAGTTAGCTACTGCAGTGGACAAGTATTAGAAGACACTTGTTTAAAAGAAAACCATTACCATGACGAAGACAAGCCTTTCCTCTACTTGTGTAGGACGTGAGATCTGCTTTAAGGTAAGGGCATTGGACTGAAAGGGAAAATACGCTTAAGAAAACATAAAGTTGTTAGTTGACGATTTTTAAGTCAGGAACATAGTGCCTGTATTTTGAAAATTAGAACAGTAATGTAATAAATAAGCAGCTAATCCTGGTTTTACCCAAGGTAACAGGTATACATTTGACATCTTACCTTTCCCTATGTTCAGTAAAATACTGTATTACTGAAGTATGCATAGACAGGGAGGGGCCTTTCCTTCTTTCTCGTTGTAGAATCATACCATCTGTGTTCATTGTTCTGAATCTTCTTTTCATTTAATAATATTCCTTCAGAAACCCCAAGTTCTCTCTCTTCTTTTTTTAATGTTTGAGACAGGGTTTTCTCATAGTTCATGGTGGCCTTGAAATCACTCCAGTCCAGAAAGGCCTTGAACTTCTGCTTTTCCTGCCTCCACCTCTAGAGTGCTGGGATTGCAGGCCTGCACCATCATTCCCAGTGCCTTAAAAACATGTTTATCTTATCAAATATCTACAGAAATAAAGTATTTATTTTCCATAGCATATCGTGGGGTGACATCTTGACATGTGGTCATTAAATCATCTTGTGTTTAGGCTAATTTAGAGCTGTATTCTAGATTGACTCTGACCCTTGTACGAGAGTTTCAGAACCTGTAGTTGTCTTGAGGATACCTCTACCTTCCAAATGAAAGAAAAAAATGTGAAGGAAATATTGCGTTAACCTTTATTTATTATTTAAGCATTAAAATTAAGTATGCGAGTGAGGGTTGGTTGTGTTCTGTTCTGCTTCTCTACTGGATAGTTTTATTGATTATTATCTCTTTTAATCCCCCTGTCTCTGTTACCGAAGATCTTTTTCTCATGCTTTTTCATATTCTCTACATACCTGGATATTCCTTTCTGTTTTGTGTTTCTCTTATCCTGTGAGCTTTTCTTTTGTTTTTTCTTTCGAGCCTTGTAGATTTTGCCGTTCTGCTTTCCCTCCTTTGCAGCCCCTCTGGAGTTCTGTGCCTGAGGACCTGGGTGAACCCGTAGAGCTCACACCTGCTGGCCAGATGCCTTTGCTTTCTTCATTCTTTTCAAGTGGCTGTGTTCCTTGTCTTGTTCCTCCGTCTCCCTCGGAGCTTCAGCTTTTTGCTTTTCAACATCACTGAAAATAAATAAACAAGTGGCCTAAACACATCTGCTGCGTTGCTTTGATTTCCTCTCTATTATTACTACGTAAGAGACTCACTGACACTCTTTATACCAGATTCTTCCCATTTTACTTCTGAGCATCCTCTTTATGGTAAATTTTCCCTCTTTTCAAGTGCATGCTTTTGACTCTGCAGAAATTAACTTTCTTTTCTCCAAAACTGCAAACACTCATACTTTCTTGCTTGAAGTCATTTGGTTTCTATAAACTCTTGGAAATACTCCTTCCAGGCTGTTTTGAAAATTGCTGTTACAGTTTGGGGAAGAATAGACTTTTCCTTTTCCAAACACATGCCCCATTGCCCAACTCTGGACTGGATTAGCGTCAGTTCAATAGCTATTTATTGTATCATGCTCTGGGCTTCAGGTCCAGGGTCCAGCCCCCGTGCGTGGCATTTATTTCCAGTTTGTGCCTTTAACCTGTTCCGGTTTCCCTCCTTCTGCAGCATCTCTCTCTGCTACCCACTCCTTCCTTTTCAATGCTCACCCCACTTTGCTTCCCTGCCCTATTTCCTTCCCAACGGCCAATGGAACCTTCTGGTTTCAACTTTTTAGCTTTGCCTAGTTCAATCCTCCAGTGAAGAAAAATTACCAAGAAAATAGATCATCACAGACATTTCAAATAGCCTTTTTTTTTTTTTTGGACTTGAGGAAAACTTCAATATGTAACATGTTTCAAGACTCTTTTGAAAGCTATGAAAAAATAACATATTTGTCTCTCTTGTGAATAGTATTTCATTTTCTTATTAGCGGGTTGTGACATTGACCAAAGAAAGAAAATCAACAGTTTTTATAGTCTAATCTTTTGGCTTAGAGATAGTTTTGCTTGATCCTATTGGTATATGACTAGGTAAGCAATCAGTGATTGTACCATAACTTTAAAGACATTGGGGATACAGTTTAACAGTCTTGATAGAAATACCTTAAAGAGGTGTCTAATGCATACCCTTTACATGTTTCAGCCCATGGATGGGATGCATGACAAGGGCATTGTAGAAGATGTCCACTGTGGATCCATGAAGGGCTCCAGCATGCGCCCACCGCACCCAGGAATGGGCCCTCCACAGAGCCCGATGGATCAGCACAGCCAAGGTTTGTGTCTGTTGCACACTGGATTTTTGTTTCCATTTAGTTTCAGTCTTTCCTGTTGGGTAATTTAATTATAACTTCCAAATAATATGTCCAAAGAGGGTTAAATCTAACTGGCTTCTTTTCTCCAGAGAAATCTGCTACCCTCTTCACCCAGCAAAACATAATTACTCATTTGTACAATTTTATTCCCAAAGTCCTAGTAATTTTACCAGCCACTATGTATCCCGGGCACGCCGCAAAGAGTTTCATGTCCTCTATCTAGGATCTTTACTGTGATCTTGTAAGGTAAATGATGGTACCCCTAAGTTATGCTTAGAGAAGTTTCTTACTTCCCTCTGTATACATATCCAGTAAGTGATAGGGCCAGAAAAAGAATCTAGATATTTGTTCCAACAACAACATAGATATAAAGGTAAGATGACCCAAACACCAATGTGTTGAGTTGTATACTTAATACTCTAGATCTCAGGTGCTGTTTTCTGGCAGCAAAACTACTGGTCATCACTGGTCTCAGTGTCTCAGTTAGTCTCCTAGGGCCACTAAAATAAATAAACATGGATTGAGTGACTTTATCCTCTCATAGATCTGAAGGCCAGAGTTCATAATCAGGGTGTCAACAGAGCCTGCTGTCTCTGAAGGCTTTAGAGAAGATTCTTCCTTGCCTCTGCTGGTTGCCAGTAAGCCTTGCATTCCTGGGTTTGTGCATGGATCACCCCAGTCTTTGCCTCCATTGTCCCTTGGCATTTTCACTGTGTGTCTGTTTCTATATCCAGATCTTCATCTTTGATTCTTGGCTTAAGATGGGCTCTGATCTAGTGTGACTTCATCTTAACTTGGTGTCATCTGCATAAACCCTATTTCCAAATGAGGTCTCATTCATAGGTATAGAGCCCATGAGTTAGGATGGGATAGTTAGGATGTCAACACATTTCTTTGGAAGACAGACACACACAATTCAGCCCTTAACATTGGTTAGATCAGTATGTGATGTGTTTCTTTTCTCCTTCATATCTTACCTAACATCCTTCCTTTCTTCACTGTTGAATGCATATTAAGATACTTCAGGGTCTTGTAAATGCATCATAGCTTGATTTCAGTTCAGAATCATCACTTGGTCATTTTTCCACACAAGAGACATGGACATGCATTAATCTAGTGCTAAATGACATTAGTGTGTAGATATTCTTACATAAGATGTATGGTTTATGCTGTATATACTCCTTTGTAATTAATTAAGTGTATATGAGATTTCCTCTGTTTACAGTCAGATCCACCAGGGGAAGAACTTGGCTGTGAGGATTTAGAAAAATGTGTTCACAGTTTTTTTCTCTTTGAAATATAATTAAGCAAGTCAAGGAGGCTGACATGAGAGTGCTCCAATGTTCTTGTTTGCTGTCTTCTGATCACCCCAGGGTCTGATCTGAATTGAGGTGGCGGGCAATCGTAATGGTCATAGATGACTCATAGAATCTTCACCTTGTTAGAAAAGCAATCTGAAGGATTATGGTTTTTGATAGTATAGGAAGAAGTACTTTGACCCATGAATACCGAGAATGAATTAAAAGGATGGTTCTGGTTCATCATTTAAATTCTGAGGGGGGCATGTATGCTCAGAGAGCTACTGAAGATCTTACTTTTAGCATATGGAAGGTATAGAGGTGTTCTGTGCAGTGATTTCTAAAGCCAGGGGCTTTATCTTTCTGCTCCTGGCCCGTTAGTATGTCTAGAAGTGATGCTGCGTGAGAAGTCCTGAGGAGACAAACAACCAGAAGCACCTTAAGTACACACAGTATCATCGAGAGCACCTTTGCATTTGTTTCATTTAAATTTTTCTCATCACTTGGTTCCACTCTTCGTATTAAGAATGTCCTACTTACCTTGAACTTTCTTACCTACTTACCTACTTCCAGCACTTGGCAGCATCACTAGCACTCAACTGGATAAATACTTTGTAAACTTTATTCCATTAAATAGAGAAACAAGCCCATATATTTCAAAGTCAACAGTTTTAAATAGATCTCAGTTGTTACATAAATCCTGTAAGTTATACTTACTTTGAAGTGCGAAGGTCTGCAGTCAATGGAGAGAGAACTAGCATGTAATATTATTCCCTAAAGTAAAGTGCATTGTAGGTTGGGGAATAAGTTATTTAAGGGTGTATTTTGGAATAATGCAGTGTTGGTATAATGCATTTCTATTCTGTATAATGATCTAAAAGGAATTTGGGCTTGGTGATAGCATGTATTTAAAAAAAAAAATCCATCGTAGAAACTCCTTTCTAAACACATGGGTACAGAAAGGTGCAGTACTGATGAGAAGGCTGCCAGCTTTAATTACTTCACAACCTATTAAGTGACTTTAGTCTTGGTATTGGTTGGAAGGCAAAACCATTCATTCAATAAATACTGAATTGTGCACCTTATGGTTTCAATGTTTATTTTTAGCAAGGTGGATAGAAAAAGCCTATTTTATAGGCAGGGATATGGATATATATATATATGTAGATATTTATGTGTGTGGAGAGAGAGAGAGAGCGAGAGAGGGAAGAGAGAGAGAGAGAGAGAGAGAGAGAGAGAGACTCATACACAATTGGTACCTAAAAGTTTGAGATTATTGATAAGGAGAGAGGTTACTGCTTCTCTCTAAGGCAAGGTGAAGCTGGGGAGATAATGCCTCTTGAAGACCACGAAAGGAAAGCTGCCATTTCCTTGACTACTTTTGAATGAGTAAATCAAACAAAATTTCCAAAAGAGCTATGTCTGCATCAACAATGTCATCCTAAGACACACGCATATTCTCTCTGAGGCAATTTCTTCATTTCTATTTTCTCAACTAAGGATAATTACCAAAATACGTTACGCTGTTGCATCATTTAGCGTCTTATTTTTCCTTAAGTTTTATAGAATGTTGCTCATATAGAAAAAAATCTCTTTTTGTAGCTGAGCCATTGTCACTTTTTTTTTTTTTTTTTTTGGTCTTTTTGAAGCAGGGTCCCCCTGTAAGCCCCAGCTGTCTTTGAATTCACTATGTAGACCAGGCTGGCCTTGAACTCAGAGATCCGCCTGCCTCTGCTTCCCAAGTGCTGGGACTACAGGCATGCGCTACCACGCCCGGCCATTGTCACATTTTTAATGTTATATGGTGACAGAATGATTTAATAACATCTGAAAATTCCGGGAAATTATTTCTTCCCACGTCCAGTTTCTTATCAAATTTGTGGTTAAGTTGTTTACTGTATTGATTTATTCTGCAATATACTTTTTATTTTGTCAATTTCCTTCTCACCAAAAACTTTTTCAACAATGATTTCACAGTGACCAGGTATGTTAGTTTGCATCGTTGTTACAAAATATTCTAGATAATCCACTTAGAAGAAGGGAAAGTTTATTTTGGTTCAATTTCAGATGTGTCAATCCATCTTGGCTCAGTGAACTTAGGTCTGTGATGAATTAGTACACTGTAGCAAGAGCTGGGGATAAAGGAAGCCTACTTACTTACAGTACCCCAGAAGCAGAGACAGACAGGAAGGAGCTAGGGTCCTAATAGCCCCTTTGGTAGCACACCCCCAACTACCTGACTTCCTTCTAGTGGGCACCAATTCAAGTTTCTGCCATTTGCTAGTAGTGCCAACCCAAGGCCCAAACCTTCATTCAATACATGGGCCTTTGGAGTGCAGACAGCAGGTTCTCTCTTCAGAGTTTGAGTTCATTTGTAATTGTCTCATCTTTACGATATTGTCTGCCCTTTGGGCTCACCACATAACAAAGCCTTATTTATAGATTTGATAACCTGTGTTATGCTTAAGCAGTGTATACTGGTTTGTCTAACATTTTGGTCCATTGTATCAGGCCTCCTATGACTTGTCGTGGGTGAGCTTATAATTGACAGTGTTAGAAAACAGGAAAGACAGGGAAGCAGGTGCCTCATGACTCATTTTTAACCTCCTTTAGTATCTTTCTGCTATGAAAATGTAAAGTTGTTTGGTAGAGAGATTTTCCCCTTTGTAGTAGACTCAGCTGGCCAGAAAGGTACATAATGAACAAACAGCCATTTTGTACCAGTTTACAATTAAGGGTGAATGTAAGCTTCATTAACAAGCAAATGACAAAAATTGAGACTCTATTATGGATACCCTATCTAGTTGTTGTTTTTTTTTTTCAATTTTATTTATTTATTTGGCCTTTTTTTTTTTTTTGAGACAGGATATCCTTGTAGCCCCAGCTGTCCTGGAACTCACTATGTAGACCAGGCTGGCCTCGAATTTACAGAGATCCGCCTGCCTCTGCCTCTGCCTCCCAAGTGCTGGGATTAAAGGCATGTGCCACCACGCCCGGCCCCTATCTAGTTTTTATAAATAACATGTTGGAATTTAAATTTCTGCTGGTCTAACAGGTTGACTTCAGGGGGATTTCTTTGGCTTACTTATATAACCAACTAACTAAAACCCTAATCATGGCCCTGTTTTGTGCTCCTTGATGAAGTAGGGTAATGAGACCTAGCACTTCTCTCCTTTCTCTCCAGGGTAGGAGTTCCCTAAATGGAGTTCCAGTTTTTACCATCAATAGAACAAAACCAATTTTTGTCCAAATGGCAACTGGAGATAAAAGTGACTTTATCCTTTATTTCTTTTCTGGTCTTCAGAATGGTGGTAGTCTGTGGACATCACCTACTTGTAGACCTCTGTAACTGTGCAGAGAAGCATATAGCTCTTTCATTCAAACTTGACATAGGTTCAAACACACAGCACTTACCTAATAACCAGCCACATGATGGCCTTTATGATAATTGTCAAATGTATACATTCGTTGAAGAATAAAGTTTTCCATCTATATATGTCTGATTCTGTTTTGGAACTCCTTTGTCTGATTAAAATAGGCTCTTTGTTTAAACTTAAGGCAACTATTTGGTTGCTGTAGCTACTTTGCTCCCTCTTCCCTCTTGAATCTCCCTCCCAGAACACTCAGTCACATGTTCTAGGAAGTGTTTAGCCAAACTACGCACGTCATCTTCTGAAATAACTTCTTTGAAATTTTTGTGCATTTTTGTCTTCCCCTAGAAAAGTGTCCTTTAATTTCCCCACTTAGATATCTTGCAACGCAAACAGGTGACTTTCATTTCTGTATTATATCCTATGTGGTATGCCTAGAGATCTTTGAAACTTTTAAAGATTTTTATTTTATTTTTAAATATGTGTATGTACGTGTGTGTGGGGGGGTGTATGTGCACGTGAGTGCCGCTGCCCACAGAGGCCAGAGACATCGGATTCCCCAGGAGCATGGAGTTGTGAGTCCTTCTATATGGTTTCTAGGAATTGAACTAGGGTCCTCTGGAAGAGGTGCTATTAACCACCGAGCCATCTCTTCACCCCAGATCCTTGATATTTGTAAATACTTGACTTACTTTGACATAACAAAATGTATATTAGATCATGGAGTGTGTACATTGGAACCAGACAGACCTTTGTTTAAATCTTGAGCTTCTAAGATTTACTTACGTGACACTGAGGAACTCACTCTTTGAGCCTCAGTGTCCTTACCGTAGAATATGAGGTAACAGCACATAACTTCCCAGGGCTGCTGTGAGGACTGATGCAGTCTCTGCCTTCCCTTCTGTGTTTGAGTCCTTTTTGCCATTTCTGTGCCTCCACCTACGTGATGTCTACTAGGTGGAATCAAATCACCATCTTGATTCACCTCCACTGGTGACATCCGCAATATTGACAGTAGAGCATCCTCAGGAGTCTGACACCCCCACACACACCCCAGAGCATTAGTGATAACTGGTCACTTAACTAGGGACTAATAGCTGTAAGAGTCTAAATATCGTGGCTTCTTTACTCCTTCTCTGGGATAATTGTAGACAAGTTTATTTCTTGTATGTCTTAGAACTTCTGCAGTAGACTAATCCTCAGGGCCCACTGCAGCAACTAGCTTAGTAATGTACTTTTTATTGGCTGGCTTCCCTCTCATATATCACCTTTCCAAACCCCTACCACTGTCCCTGCACCGCCCACATAAATCAACCTGCATTTAGTCCTTGAATCAGTCTTTCTGTGTGAGCTCAGGTGAGATGGAGTATACTCTCCTTGCACAGTGGCTACAACATGGCAGGCCCTCAGTAATTTGCAATTACTTGCAACTTGCATGATAATAAACTATATAATATTTGATTTCATTTGTATACTCTGCACTGAGCTATATTAGATCTCTTGATGTTTTTGTTTAGATTGGAGCTCCTTTCTGATGTGTATTACTGTGCTTCACCATCTTTCCTTCAGGTGTATAATAATCAGTAACAATTTGCCCTCTAGGGTACAAGTGGCTGTTGATCATTTGAAATGTGGCTAGTACAAACTGAGATATTCTGTGAGTGTAAAATACCAGATGTCAAAGACCCATTATAACAGAAAGAATGCAAAATAGCTCATCAATTATATTATGTTTTGAAATGCTGATATTTGGGATATTAAATAAACTGTTACCAAAATTACCTTTACCTGTTTCTTTTACTTTTTCAAACATGCTTACTAGATAATTATAAATTATATATGAAGCTTATAATATATATTAAACTTCTAAACTATATGTAATTGCTAGCCTATCCATAATTTAAATTTCTATCATATAGTATCACACTAGAAAATCATTGAAGTATTTAGGAATACTTCTTTCTCAGGGTCATCTTCTACAGCCTGTGATCTTGTGTTTTATTTTAGGTTATATGTCACCACACCCGTCGCCTTTGGGAGCCCCTGATCACGTCTCCAGCCCTTTATCTGGAGGAGGCCCAACCCCACCCCAGATGCCACCGAGCCAGCCAGGGCCCCTCATCCCAGCAGATCTGCAGGCAATGAACCAGCCCAACAGAGGTCCCTCACCTTTCAGTCCTGTCCAGTTGCATCAACTTCGGGCTCAGATTTTAGCTTACAAAATGTTGGCCAGGGGCCAGCCCCTCCCAGAAACACTGCAGCTTGCAGTCCAGGGGAAAAGGACCTTGCCTGGCATGCAACAACAGCAACAGCAGCAGCAGCAGCAGCAGCAGCAGCAACAACAACAACAACAGCAACAGCAACAGCAGCAACAGCAGCAGCAGCCCCAGCAGCAGCCCCAGCAGCAGGCTCCACAACCACAGCCCCAGCAGACGCAGGCTGCCCTTGTTAGCTTCAACAGACCATCTGGTAGGTTAATGTGAAACCAAATGAATAACACTATGGTCCAGCTTGGACAAGAAGCCTGCTCACACAGAGCAGCAATAGCTTGGTCTGACAGCCTGGGGCTGGCTGACTGAGCCCTTTTCCATACCTCCCTTTTCTTGCTCCACTCAGATTAGCTGAGATTCTTGGTTTCCTGCTATAGAGTCCTAGAGCAGTGTTTTTTAATCGGAGACTCTCATGCAAGCTGTGGATCTAGAGAAAAAGCACATTCTCCCATGATCTTGCATTCTCTTTTAAGAGGTACAAGCTTGCTTGGAAGCCCATCCATACACTCCAGGTTAGGAACCTCTGTATCCACTGCATCTTTCTACAAAACTCCCTTCTCAAATTGGCCCCCAGCTGAGCCATTCTCTATTTGTTGATTTATTTATTTATTACCTTTTTTGTTGGAAAAACATTTGAGCATTTGAGGAGACCTCCAGGAGGCCTGTAGTAAAATAATTATCAAATAGAGAATCAGAGGCAAGGGAAAATTTAAAAGAAGCAAGAAATCGAGGTCAGGAATATAGAGCCCACAAGAGCCCTCACAGTTGCGGTGACTGAGCTTTCAAAGATGACTCGAGCTTCCTAACAGAGCCACAAGGAGATAGGGTCATGTATCTAATTCTCACCATTCAGAAGGAAGTTGCTTACCAATTTCTCAGAGGACACAAAGCCATTTCTGGCATGAGAATATAAAGTCGATCTCCCAGGTGTGATTATTCTTCAAATTACAGTCATTCCTTGGTATCTGAGGCAGATTGCTTCTAGGACCCCCAGTGGATACCAAGACCTGTGATGTTCAAGTCCCTTACATAAAAAGTGCAGGATTTGCATATAAGCTATGTATATCCTCCTGCGTACTTTATCGTCTCTAGATTACTTATGAGAAGTCCTGAATATAATGTGAATGCTATATGAATAGCTGATACAACGTATTGTATAGGGAATAATGACAAAAAGAAGTCTGTACATGCTCAGCACAGATGGATTTTTTTTCCTGAATATTTTCCATCGTAGTTGGTTCAATTCACAGAGGTGGAACTCATAGATACAGAAGCCTGGTTATTATTGCATTTTCATTATTGTTTATTATTATTATTATTATTATTATTGTAAAAGGCTTTGCATAGTAAAAATGTTACTAAAATTTGTTGCTAATAGAGTAACATATTCGTATGGCATGCTCTTAGACTCCCTGGGATAAAAATCAGAAGCTATGCTATTGCATAGTAGGTGGAGATGGTGTAGTCCTCTGCACAGCCTTCTAGGGACATAGCTTTTTTGTGGTGATAGAATTTAGAGATACAAGGGACCTTAGAGTGATCGTATATGAAGGTTATATTCTGTAGTATAGTTTTGTTAAGGATTGTATGAACAAGGCCAGCAAGATGAATCAGCAGGTAAAGGCACTTGTCCCACAAACCTAATGGACCACCTGAATTCCATCCCTGGAACCCATGTAAAGGTAGAGGGAGAGAACTGATTCTATAAAGTTGTCCTCTGACTTCCACATATGTGCTGTGGCACAAATGCCCCCCACCCTTCAGGAGGAAAGTAAAAGAAAGAAACAAACAAATGAGCGGACTGGATAAACAGTTTTATTTGTGGTGAGTGGGATGCTCTCCAAGACACTGATACCATTTCCTGTGACTGGATTCCACTCATTTGGATAAGCTCTGATGTGCTAATCACTGAGAGCAATTAATCTGGGATATTTATCTTCTTAGGTTTAGGAACCTGAATAAGGAGAAAGAATTCAGATTGATATTTGTTTCATATACTTTACCTTTTGAGTTTCTGTTTCTTGTCTGATAGATTTAGTTCTAAGAATAGAGATACCTGAACGATAAACTCGTTTTGTCAGTTGTAGCATTAGAAGTGATCCTCTTGACTAGGGAGGTGGCTCAGTGGCTAAGAGTGCTTTTTGAGTAAGTGTGAAACCTAAGTTGGAGTCCCTAGAACCCATGTAAAAAGCTGGGTGTGACTATATGTACCTGTAACCCTGATGTTGTAGGGGAAAGGGATGTTGGAGACAGGAAGATGGCTGGTACTTGCTGGATGCCACCCTAGCTCGAGGTTCAGTTGTAGATCTTGTCTCAAGGGAAAAAAGCAGAAAGAGATGGAGCAGGCCACCTGATGTGTTTTTCTGGCTTCTTCATGCCCCTGTACACATACTTCCTTGCTGCATACATAAACATAGACATAAAAATTATATATTTTTAAAAATATAAGTATTTTATTTTTTGTTTATTTTTAATGTTATGTGTATTGCCTACTTGTATGTAAGTGTACCCATGTCATGCAATGCCGTGGAGATCAGAAGAGGTCGTTGGATCCCCTGGAACTGGAGTTATAGATAATTGTTAGCTGCCATGTGGGTTCTGGGAATCAAACCCAGGTCCTCTGTAAGAGCAGCCAATACTCTTAACTGCTGAGCCATCTCTTCATCCCCATAATATATTTTTTAAATGGGTATCTTTAGACAGGTATGGTATACACCTGTAATCCCAGTACTTGAGAGGTAGAGGTCAGAAACTCAGGAGGTCAAGGTCATCGTCAGTTGAAGAATGTATGAGATTCTGTTATAAAACAAAATCAAGACCAAAACCAAACCAATAGAGGTTTGTTTCTGATAGTTCTGGAGGCTCGGATGTCCAACATCAGGGTACTAGAAGGTTTGCCATGTGATTGATTGCTTTTTGGTTCATAGAGGGCACCTGTGCTGTTTGCCCTGGCATGGTATAGGGTGAGCAAATGTTCTGAGCCTCTAACATGGCCACTAATCTCTTTCATGAGAGCTTTCCCGCATGACTTAATTGCTTCCCGAAGACTCTACTTCCCAATCTCATCACCATGCTGTTGGGATTCTAGCATAGGAATTTGGGGAGACACATTTAACAAAGTTGTAACAATGTTGTTTTGTTTTGTTTTGTTTTGTGTTATTTTTGAGACAGGATCTCCCTTTGTAGCACTGACTAGCCTAGGACTTTTCACAATCCCCTGGCCTCTACTTAAATTCTAGGATTACAGAAATGTACCACCTTTCTCAATTTAGCAGTGGGTTTTAAAAAAAATTACTGAGAATTTCATACATGTGCATATAAGGTGTTTTGATCAAATCCACACTCACTCCCTTCCCTCCAACTCCTCTCATATTTCCCCATCACTTTTTCCTGACAACTCTGTGTGCGTGCGTGCTTTCTTTCTTTCTTTCTTTCTTTCTTTCTTTCTTTCTTTCTTTCTTTCTTTCTTTCTTTCTTTCTTCTTTCTCTCCCTCTCTTTTCCTTCCCCTCCCCTCCAACTCCTCCCATATCTCCCCATCACTTTTTCCTGACAACTTCACGTACTCTTTCCTTTTTATATGGGGCTTTCCCCTCTGAAGAGGTAAACCCTGAAATCTTTTAGGATTAGATAAGAGATCCCAAATACTTTTGACATTTTTGGCCTTTGGAACAGAGTATATTGCTAAGAGGCCCAAGGGCATTTTGACTCTTAGCCAAGAAACTGGCTAATATTCTGTCTTTTTACCCTAACTGCGTAGCCAATTCCTAACTTCTATTCTTATCACACCATCCTCTGAAGAGGTTACCTAGATTGCCAATGGGGAATTGGGACAGAGACTGCTCTGGCTTCTTCCATGCTGAACAGCAATTCAGGGTGAGGCAATTGGGATACCCCTTCAGTGGGTCTATCTAAAAGACTCCCAAATTGTGTAACTCTTTACTGTAGGGAGATAAGAAAATCCTTGACTGGTGCCTAGGAGATGTGAAGGAGAAGTAAAGGTGAGAGTTGTTAGCATTACAAGTTCTAGACAGGGAGCCAGAAAAAGGTTAGACCAGGGCAAATTTCAAATGCTCTTATCAGAGTCCATTGGAATTTATTTGTTTTCAGGCTCTTTGATAGCTGTTGGAGAGGCTAGAATCAGTGTCAGTTCCCTCTCAAAGGCTTCTAGATGGGGGGAGAAAACAAATTTAGCCATCATTTTAGAACAATAGCTGGTTGTCTCCCTTAGCTACAGGTGGGCACTACAGTACTGCAGACTAAGATTTGAAGTCTTACATCTGAGCAGTACTTTCTGATTAGAGACAAAATCATCAATGAGAAATAATTGTCTAAATAACATTTTATGTGGACTTAAGCCTAGTGTAATCCCTTGAACTCTTAAAAGAATATACTGATCCCTTTAATCTTTGGTTATACTTTCTTTTTGGGTGTTTAAGCCCATACAGTTGGCCCAAATAAACCAATTTATTTTTACTCTTAAGGTCGTTTGAGGATCTGTTCCTCAGAGGTCACATGGGCTATCCTCACATGGGTTTGGGAGGAGCCCCTGGCTCCTTTCTTTTACCAGTTCCATCTATGTGAAGATAAGTCAAAGCTCCTGCTCGACTATGGCTGGCTTCATTTGGAAGTATGGAGGAAATGTTTCCTCTATGTTGACCCTCCTCTGTAGACTGGACACTGGTTCAAGTCCATCTGGTGGGGTCTCCATGGCCTCCCTTGAACAAGAGGACAGGTCACTCACCACAGTTACAAGACATTTTGAGAGATGCTCCATAGTCCCCTGGAACTTAGTCGACCTTGGAGGGCAAGGAGCAAAAACTGTGCTTTAAGTCCCTCTGACCAGATTAGTATAGGCCTCAAAGTATGGCTGTTAAATATCCAAGAAGGTTAGTTCCACCAGTCTGGTACTTTTAATTACCATGTGCTATGTAGATAAAGCTTGGGCAAAAACCAAATGTTCTCAGATAAACCTTGACTAGACATATATTTTGTTCCTTGAACTAATTGACTAAGCTATGACCTTAGAAATTTTAAGATTTTGTGTATATTATTTTTAAAGAACAAAAAAGTATCATTTTATATACAGATTTCTGTATGGCTACCAGGGAGCCATTTGATAGGTAAAAAATTTTGGTAGGAATAAACAGTAAGACCAGAAAGGTCATCCAAAAATCCATGCAAAAACAAACTATAAAACTAAAGCTCTTGAGAATTCAGCCAAATAGAAGGAAAAATTGTGTGTACTCTCTGAGTTCCTGCTAGCTCGCCCAGGTCCCATCCTCTGTAAGGTCCTCGTATATGCCACTTGTCCTGTGTGGAGGGAGCCTCCACATCTAGACCCTAGCAGTTTGACTTGACAGTTTGTGTTGTTGACCATTTTCCCAAATGGGTACCACCTTCCTGGCCAAAATTCTCAAGACCAGGATGTGCAATGTGTGTGTACACCACAACGCAAGCTCTTCACTCTGTGTGTAAAGAGAGCAGAGCACAGCTTCCTGTCATGGCCCCTTTTAATCTCACTCTAGACACACTGGCCATCTTCATTTCCCACGTCTTGGTGCAGTTTTAACCACAGGGTTTTAAGAGAGGTCAGCTGGACTAATAAGATAGCTGCCAGCTAGGTGGACAGATGGGAAGAAATTACCTAATAAAGCTCCCCAAAGATAACATTGTGGGTTCTTGTCATATGAGCATAACCCATTGTGCGTGCAGCCTGTCTGGGGTAACCTTGTCACAGGCATTAGGAGTTTTGAAAATGACCACAGCTCAGCAGGAAACTATTTCCCCTGTATTGTTTAAGAAGGTAGGATGCTGAATTCCTTATCTGAGAAATCTTTCCATTCAGATAATGGGGTAAAGCAAGTAGTGAAATTTAAAGAGCAAAGTTTCAATTATCTGGGTGCAGGTGTGTAACCAGTACCTAATTGTGCCTGCATTTTATGGGCCATTTCCAGAAGAAGGGGGTTCTTTTTAATAATCTGCCTTCTGTGCCTGCTCCTACCTTATCAGACCCCTGTCCACAGAGTGACTTCATTTTGTTACTGCTCAAGCCTTCTGTATTTCTCACCTGTCATATTCCATAAGAAATGAGAATATTTGGCTAGATACTGTTTTCTGGCAAAGTGGACAAGGAGGCCATGGGTGAATTGTTTATGCTAGAGAGGGGGTAAGAGGACAACTGAAGAATGACATTTGTTTTCAATTTGAAGGAGTCAGGAAAAGGTCTTAGGTAGCTGACCACCAGTGTCTGGTGCGGAGGAAGTGGGTTCTGTGGATGAATGCCAGTGCTTTTTGTAAGCTGCCTGCTGGATGGCATGGAACCTGCTAGATAGGTGGTCACATCCTGAATATGATTGCATCGAGCTGCATTTGTCTTCCTAGTCTCTGTAAATAAAAGTATTTATTCAGTCAGAGAGAGGAGAAAATATACCCACACAATAAGTGATCTTGCGTTTAGCTAGAAGATGGACTTGGCTTAAAGTGGCCCTCAGAACAGTGGGCAGCACACACATGGCCAGTTGATTTATCTGAGGGATGCCTGTGCTGAGTTGTATTAAACTATAGAAATATTTTGAAATCTCTCACAGTAAAGCATACTCCCAAAGTTGTCAGCTAATAGGGTACCAAATTCCTGAAGTGCTTTCTTTTTTCATGGGGTTTTCGGTTAAATGGAGTACGGTAATTACATTAGACTTCTTTTCCGCCTGTCCTGTCTGTGGTGTCAATAAAGAGGAAAAGTTGAGGGTAGAGGCAAATGATCTCATTGAATCCTAGCTACCATTGGCTGAAAGAGGTATTGTTACTGTTCCCATTCTGCAGATGAGGAAACTGAGGCACAGGGCTTGGTAATTTGGACAGACCCATACAGCTGCTGGGTGATAGGGCTGAGATGAAACTTACCATTTCTTCTGGAAAGATACAGAACTTTAAAAAATGTACCTATGCAGAATACCTTAGTGCTTTTAAATTAGAGATTTGAGTGTGTTAAGTCCATGGCCTCTGTTACTCAATATTAAGGATGAATCAACCAGATTTCAGTATCTTTATATTTAGTCATTGAATAAGGCTAACTATGTGTAGATCAGATCTAGCTTGGAGAAACAGATTAAAGATGGCTAGATAACAAATGTACCCTGGATACCTTTCTTTGATTAAATAGTTAAAAATAGTAACTTAAAGGTACCTGAAGGCCTGATAGGCTTCTGCATCCTGCGTCTGTATTTCTAAGTAATCTTGCTAAGGAAGGGAGGACCTGGGATGAATGAAGTATGTACTGATGTTTTATTGTTAGGATGTTTGATTTACCTGAACTTTGAAAGGAGGGAAGGTGCTTTCGAGATGGAGATGGACTTTAAAGTCATTACAATGAGGTTGTCTAATCAGTGAGACCTAAATCTTTTTATCAAAGGTTATTTCTATTTAGAGAATCTGAAAGTAACAAATTCTCTGTTTAGCATGTTTAGACTAAAGCTTTCAATATATTTAATTGGAATTGCTTCTTGAACTTATTAAAATGATTCATAGAATCAGAGAAATTTACAATAAATATGGACCAGCCAAATGGCTCAGTGGGTAAAGAAGCTTGCCATCAAGCCTGACGACCAAAGTCTGATCCCTAGAACCAACTCCTGCCAGCTCTCCTCTGACCTCCACACATGCACTGTGCCATATGCATTCCCCTCCCCCACCAAACACAAAGAAATATATACCTGTAACTAAATTTTTTAAATAAGTATTAGAAATCTGTATCTTCTGCCATTTGACTGCCTACCTAAACTAGTGCAAAGAACAGTGTTCCTATCTTAAAGACCTCTGGGAAAAATATTCTAAAACTTTCCTTCATTAACTCATTTCAGTGCTTCACACATGCTGAGATTTAATGTTTAGAAGTTGGTTTCTTAAATATGGATGAAAATAATTCTAAATAAAAAGTGTAACAAATATATATATGCATTATGTAAAAGATATCCCATTCAGAAAACAAAAATCAGAAAGTATTTAGCTGAGGAAAAAGGTCTTTAGATGGTAGCTATCAGAAATAAGAAAATAAAGAGTTGTACATTTTCTCCAAGAATTTTTTTTTTTTTTGTAAATAACCCTGAAGAAGACCGGGACTACAAATTAACTTAGGAAGAAATTCTATGTCTATATTGCTTGGGAAGTTTTGCCTAATTTCAGGAGGGGAAAGAAGAAGCATGTATGTGCCTCCCCTTCAACCCTGTACATAGACACACAGACAGACACATGTACACACTACACTGACACTTCCCTAAGCAGTTTGTACTAATTCTTCACATTCCTCCTGTCAAAATGTTTACTTATGGCTTTCTTTGGATTGTCATTGAAGCCCATTTCTAAGTGGTATTTGTCAGAACTTGAATAAATATATTCTAGATTTCATAATGATGCCTTTGTATGATTAATTATTAAGTCTCTCTGAAGTATATAGATCATTATTTCTTAATAGCTTTATTTTTTATTCCCTTTGGAAGGATATAGGAAATACTTGGAAGAATGCCTGTTTGTGCTTTTAGTAGATACTGACTGAGATTCTTTGTTTTTTAAAATTTACTAACCTTTCTGGCATCATCCATAATCTTATTTATAATTTTAAGGAAACTGAAAACTCACTTGGGAGAATTGGAATGCTTATTTTAAGAGCTTTAAAATTTTTAAATTTTATTTGCATTTTATGTGCATGGGTGTTTTGCCTCCATGTATGTGCGTGTACCACATACATGTAGTGCCCACAGAGGTGAAAAGAGGGCGTTGGATCCCTTGGAGCTGGAGTTATGAAGAACTGTTGGCCTTCATGTGGGTTCTGGGGACTGAACCCATGTCTTCTACAAGAGCAGCCAGTGCTCTTAACCATGGCACCAGTCTTTAGCCTGAACCACTTCTTATTTCAGATCTGTATCTAGCAATTAATTGAAACTCTTGAAGTTTAATGCAGAAAATGGTTGTAACAGAAATTAACACTACTTAAAGATCTGTTTTGTTTTTATTTTATTTTTTACATAGGGTCTCATGTAGCCCAGGCTGTCCGTGAACTCATGATTCCTGTTTCCATGTCTCAAGTGCTGGGGTTACAGTCTGTTTCACATGCCACACTTCAAAGATAGGTTAAAGGTTGCATGCCATTTTCTTCTGATCATAGGAGGAAAAGGCTGTCTTTAATCTTAATATTTGCTCATTTTTATTAGAGGAAACAAGCATATGTTTCTTCTAATATTGAATATTTTAAGACATATTTTGCTCATATACAATATGCATAAAATTTAGTTCCTGGGATTCACTAAGCCTGAAATATGCTGTAAGGACCACTAACGAAAAGCGTGGACTCCTTTTAAGTCCCACCAGACCGGAAAGCTCCTCACACTCTAGGTGCTGGAGCTCAGCCAGCAAGGGGTATTGGGACAGAATACAGGAACCTAACAACAATTTGCAAAATGGAACTTTAGCCACATCCATTATACCCAATTGTTGTATAACTCTATTTTGTGAAGACTGAATCCACCACTGTTTGTTTTTGAAAACCACTGTTGAGTGCCACATTAAAAAAGGAACTTTTGGGGGCAGGAGCATTGGCTCAGCAGAAGACCCCAGGTTCGATTCCCAGCACCCACGTGTCAGCTAAGAACCTTCTGTAACTCCAGTTCCAGAGGAATCCAATGCTCTCTTCTGACCTTCACTGGCATTGCATGACATGGGTGCACTTACATGGAGGCAATGCACTCATACACATCAAATAAAAAGAATATGTTTTTTAAAAGAGCTTGCTGCTGAGCAGGCGTGGTGGCACATACCTTTAATTCCAGCACTTGAAAGACAATGGCAGGTGATTTCTGTGAGATCAAGGCCAACGTGCTCTATATATCAAGTTCCAGGCCAGCTGTGTATAAAAATGAACTTGTCATTGATTTATTACAACTAGGAGTCATTTGGGGACTGTGTTTGACACTGTTCATTGGGTCATGCCATTTCCCTGTGGGCTCCACTGTCCATTATTCTCCCTTTTCCTTTTCTTCTCTCCTCCCTCCATTTGTTTCCTCCCAGGTGTTTAAGACACTTGGGTCCCTATCTTTGGGTGGTGGTTGAGGGGTGGAGGAGCTAGGCATGGCCAGTGGGTGTCCTTCCTTCTGTCCTGTCCTGCCCATGTCCCTCTTGTCCCACAGGCCCTGGGCAGGAGCTGCTGCTGGGTGGTCCCAGCACTCCACAGAAACTGACTACTCCTGCACCCAGTGGCCGGCCCTCACCTGCGCCCCAAGCCACCGCACAGCCCCAGGCCACTGCTGTGCCCGGGCCCTCCGTGCCACAGCCCGTCCCAGGGCAGCCCTCACCCGTCTTGCAGCTGCAGCAGAAGCAGAGCCGCATCAGCCCCATCCAGAAACCGCAAGGCCTGGACCCTGTGGAGATCCTACAGGAGCGCGAGTACAGGTACTGTACTGCCTGCGCGGAGGGTGATGGAATCAGGTCATGAGCAAGCGCCATAGGTCCAGGGGTTAAGGGGTCTCCCTTGGACCGTGTCCTTGTATATTACTGAACACAGAGAGGTGAAGGGAAACTTCAGAGGCAACTCAAACTGTGATGACGATTTCAGAACAGAGTTACAGAGGAAGTCCACATGCTATGGTGGTGCTGGGTAGAACAGACTATAACTTTCTCTTAATTAGTCAGAAAATTTTATCTACTCCTACCACTTGCCAGGAACTTGGAATTCAAAGATCAAAAGCCCAGCACTGAGTTCCTGAATCCAAGGTCATGGCCCTCTCACACGGATTTTGCAGTGCATCCTCCTTGATTGTCAGCATGTGTCCTTGAATGACTGTGAAGTGGTAAGATGTTGAGTGTGTTGTGTGGGTCTGACCTTCAGATTAGTGGCAGCTCATGATACTAAAACATGCTTTGTAGCTTGGTAGAATGTATTCTGTGTTTTAATTCACTCGTGTTTTTGTCTAATGCTTGGCCTAGCTTTAGGGGTAAACCTTATATATCTGTCTTCAAATGGGGTCCTTATTTAAACTCTTAATCCAAATACTTGTCACCTGATTTGGCACATTTGTGTTTAAATTAGGGACTGGCAAACTTTTTTCTGTAAAGGACCAGATGGAAAATAGTTTATGTTTTGCAGGGCCATATGTCTCATACAAAAATAGTCTCTGCCCTTTTTGTGGGGAAACACCCATAGACCAGTGGCAGGTTGGCTTTGTTCCAATAAAACTTTATTTAGAAAAACAGCTCTGGGTAAGATTTGGCCCACAGGTTTTAGTTAGCAGACCCTCCAAATAAATGGTTAATGGCAATGAAGAATAAGTCCAATAAATACTGAGCCAAGATAAAACAAAGCTAAGATTGTGGATTCTTTAGCCTGCTTGGAAGTATGCTCTGTCAGTAACTAACTATGTTGTCTCTGTCAAGTTATGCCTCTTTTCTGACTCATATATTAAAAGGATTATAGTTTTTCATGGTGTTAGAAAGATAAAAATGTTATAGAAACATTCAATAATATTAGATGCCGTTTGTTGAATATTTACTTTAAAAGAAAATTTAGATCTTAAAAATTATAGAGAATACTAGTAAGCAATGTTTCGGCTTCCTTTTAAAACATGACCCTAACCTTTATTAAATAGCATGCAACTAATTATTAGACTAGATAAAAAATATAACTGATTTCAAGACTTATTTTGAAAGCATCTCGGTAACATTTGATAGCTTTATAGAGAAGTATAACTTTATTTCCTCATTTCTGCTGCCTACCATCATTAGGACCATTTTTGTTGTGACTACCAGCATTTCATGTAACCCTGAAGATCAGTGCTTGATACTCATCATCAGATCGTTTTCAACAATGATAGGCAGATTCTCTGGGGTAAATAATCACTGTGTATTATAAAGTCGGGTACAAAGACATTGGTGCAGAAAAACTATCTTCAGATGTGATCTCTTCTTTATGCTGCTGAATGAAGAAAGTCAGAAGTAGCTGGAAAAAAAAAAGTAATAGGATAGAGCAGAACTGTGTGACTACTCTACACTTTTGACTTTTAGGATCTAACATGCTTTTGCCCTTCCCAGAAAGTGAAAAGCTGCTGGTGCTGGTAGCTCTGCTATCTCGTGTGTGTTCCCTATATGTAGACATCTTAGGTGTAATGTCTGGCCTTTTTCTTTTATTCAGCCATGCGCGCTTGTGTGTATGTGTGAATGTGTGTATATGTATGTATATATGTGTGTATGGGTGTTTGTATATACGCTTGTGTGTATGTGTGTGTGTGTGTGTGTGTGTGTGTGTGTGTGTGTGTGTGTGTAAACTGTTTTGTGGACTCATAAGATTTCTTTGTCATTGTTGATAGAATTTTAATTCCAGGACTCTCATATATAATAAGCTCATATTAGTACTTTTTTAAAAAGTATGATCTTAATTGACGGTCTCCTACAGTGTTAAGTACTTCCATTGAGCCTATTTCAATGCATACAAAGTTGTTATCCTCCTATTTATCTTCCTATATTTTAAACATTTCTGTTGCATTTATTTATTAGTGTATATTGGCATGTGTGCGCCATTGTGTGCATTGGAGGTCAGAGGACAACTTGTGGGAATTGGTATAGGTTCTAGAGCTCAAACTCAGTTCTTCAAACTTGGTGGCAAGCCTTTACCCACTGAACCATCTCACCAGCTCTATTTTCCTATATTAATAAAAATTGTATGTATCTGTATCTTTTTATCTATGTATCAAACCAGGCATGGTGGTACGTGCCTGTAATCCTAGCACTTGGGAGGCTGAGGCAGGAGAATCATGAGATCAAGGTGAACCTGGGGTATATAATGAAACCGAACCTCAAAACAAAAACAAAAATAAACCAATAACCATAAATTATGTATGGTGCAATATGTGGTTTAATTTTTCATATGTCTTATTTGATAAATGTCTCCTCTTTAAAGCTAAAGCTGTGTGGTTGTGAAATCGTTAGTCTGGACAGCTGGGGTTTGTCCAAAGCCTGGTAGATCGTTTGGCCTGAATATCCCTCTGGCCATCTGTAGAAGACTGAGTCTATGCCAGCAGTGTGGCTGGGGCACGCCTTCTCTCCTTTACTCACGTAACAGTAGCTGGCTTCTGCCTGTATGAAGATGAACTATTCAACAGCAAAGATTAAGTTCATCCATTGAAAGGGCTAAATTAAGTTTTGTGGATACTCACAAGAGACAGTTTTGAGATTCTTTTTCTCTTCTGCCCTGGGTAGTGGAATGGCTAACTAGACTTATGTCTGGTAACCACGGGGGTCCAGTGTATCTTTATCACCTGACTAAATGTTTGAACAAAGTCTTAAAAAACAAACAGAAAAACCCTTATTTGTAATTTGACATATTTTGAGAGAAAAAAAAAATCATCCAACAGAAATCCCTTAACAGTTGCTCATTTCTTTGGCCTCTATATCATGTACCTTGTCTACAAACATTGTAAAGAAATTATTAGAATATTACATTTCTTTAAGTCAGCTGGCTGCTCTTCTTGGTTACCATAAAATCAGAATTTTGCCTAATTGACTTTTTAAATTCAGTTGAAGCTTAAGTGAATTTCTGCCTGTGAAGACTGGACTCTGATATGTACAGTCCTGTGGTTGAAAACATTTTTCCCCATTTAGATTGGATCTTTTCTTTTTGGCCCACTTTCTTTGGATGGAACTTGATTGCTTTTATCTGTGGTATCAGAGAGTACTACATCCTTGCATCCTCAACTCTATGATTTTCAGGCCAGGACTCGTCCCTTTTAATATATCCAACTTCATTTCCTTCCATGTAGAGTTAGATTCTGATCAGGAGAATTTCAGGAGTCTGCACATTGGCGTGTGAACTAATTCCACAGTTGTTTGCATGGAAGATGAATTTCACACTCAGAAGGGTTTATTTTAGAAGGGCACTTTTGAATTACACCAGACCTCTGGTCTCAGATCAAGAATTGAATTTGGAAACGGGCACTCAGCCTGACGGTTTTAAGAGACAAGTATGCATAGCTTACCTGTGTTGTTGTTGTTGTTGTTGTTGTTTTGTTCTGCCCTTGTCTCCATCACAACCCTGAAATCTCAAAAATTACCAATGACCGCTCTGCCAGCAGAGTCACTAAAGTGATCGATTGATCTCTCTCTCTCTCTCTCTCTCTCTCTCTCTCTCTCTCTCTCTCTCATCACTCAGCTCCTTGAAGGAACAAAATGTACCAGTGTCATTTTCTGTTCAAATAACTCTCCTACAGGAATCATAAACTTCTCCTCTGGACCTGAACAAATATCTGTTGCCTTTAATGGAACTCTTTTTCTTGCCAGAACAGTAACCTCTCTTGATTTACTGTTCAATCTGTATGAAAAACCTGAGTGACCTAATTCTGCTTCAATTTTCTGTGCTCGTGAGGACTCTAAATGAGTCACCTGCAGTCATGCAGGATTACATCTTGCTGTTGTTTCAGGAAGTTTAGAATCCTGAGTCTCTTTATCGGACTGCCTGCTGAATCCCATTGATGGGAAGATGAAATTGTCTGGAGAGAAGCATTATTTAAAATGAAGATTTCTATTAAGAACAACAACAACAGAGACGCAATCTTCTATGTTAAAGAAGCCCCTCTTTCACCCACCCCCCGTGTGCCACATCATGCGTGTATCATTTTGCTGTGAAATCTGCTTTTGCTCTTCTCTTGAATTTGTGCTTTGGACTTCATGCCTCCCTTTCATAAAGCAAAGATTCTTTTGTATTAGCAACTCTTGAGATACACTAACAAATCACTTCTCCTTTAGAGAAGCAGGCATTACAAGGAGAGGTGCACCCCTGGCTCCCGCCCACCACCGTGCTGGCCCCAGACACCCACACTCCATCACCACAAGCCCTTGCTGGCCTCCCCACTTCCCCCTCTACTCTACACCTCCTGCCCAGTTCTGAGTGTTTTAGTCTCAGCACTGTCAGCCCAGGTGTCCTGTGGTTATTTTTTAAGTCCTAGTTCCATAGCCCTTTAGAAGATTGATGGGAACCAGGCATTCCTTTAGTTTAGCACCTGAGTCACTTTTCAGAGTGAGCCAGAATACAGAGGGGTAGTTTAAGTTCTAAGATATTCAAATAAGGAAAGTAATGAAAGCAATCTAGAACCAAGGACACAGCATAACCGGATTGTGGGTGGCATCATCTTACCCTGGTCTAATACTTAATCCTTTAATATGGTCTTAATAATATGGAGTAAAGTCATTACAAAGGAAAAGTTGTTTCAAGTTTTTTTCCCCTTTAAATGTATTTTTCTCTTAAATGTTTATATGCAGCATCTGCTGCCTGTTTGGACACTCGGGATACATCAGTAGATAAGAAAAATTAATTGAATAATAATTTATATAATGCATATAATGTAACACAAAAACCACAATAATAATCCAGTAACCACTACCAATAAAAGAGATGTCAAAAGAGTTGAGAGGATTTGAATCATTGTTCTGAAAGAGTAAAATGGTAAAAGTCTATTGTTGTTTGAACTAACAAATTTTAAGCTGCGAATGGTTAGACCATTTGGGAGCGCTTTTACTGAACTTCTATACTTGGCTAAAACAACAGTGTGGGAACACATAAGGTGATAAGCCATTCAGTAAGTTTGAGTCAGCACATGTACCAAGTCAAACAGCAATCTACCGCATGTGCTATTTTCAGTGAAGACAATGAAAAAATGAGTCCTGTTCCTTAAAATCATTTAAAGAATCTTTGAACAACGCAACATTTTATTTCCTTCCAAATCTTTTTTTTTTTTTTCAGTTTTTTGTTTGTATTTGGGCAAATGAATTACTGATATTTTGGAGTCCCAGCTGGTCTAGAACTCACTGTGTAAACCAGGCTGGCCTTGATCTCACAGACATCCACCTGTCTCTGCCTCTCAAGTGCTGGGATTTAAAGTGTACACCATCACTCCTGGCAGCAAGTTTTAGTTTTTAATGCTAAAATGCAGCATCGTGAAAGCTGAAATAAATTTTATATTCATTTTAACAGTATCCCTAGTTTTAGTTCTTTAAGCTAGGACCAGGGCTCAGAAAGGGAAGGTTCATTGCCTCTCTTTTATTGCAGTGGTTTTGGTGTCAGGTAAATGAGGATTTCAGTTTTGGAGTCCTCCTTTACTAGATCAGTGGTGCCTACATATTCCTTCAGTTTTCTCATTAGTAAAATGGATTCATTATAATATTTACCTTGGGGTGTGTGTGTGTGTGTGTGTGTGAGAGAGAGAGAGAGAGAGAGAGAGAGAGAGAGAGAGAGAGGAGAGAGAAAGAGGAGGTTCATTAACATTTGCAGTAAATACACTGTGTGGTTAGTATTTACCAGTTCAAATTTTATTTTATTATTTCTTTCTTTTGAAATCTATTCCCGAACAATTTTGTCCTAAACTTGGGGAAGGGGGTCATTCTAAAACTAGATTTGGGTGGTCTGTAATTATTAATAAAAATAAGGCTTAGAACCAGTTCCTTTGTGTAATACGAACAGTCATAGACTCCAAACAAATGAAGAGAGGTGTCTTTTATTTGTGCTCTGCTTCATTATGAGGAAGTGCTTATATTTTGGTGGTGTCTAAAATGAGAACCCCCAGCATCCTTTTCTAGAAACTCTTAGATTTGAAATGTTATTTACTGCTGCCCCTGATTTTTGAAAATGCCCATTTTGTCGTCTTTTCGCAAGCAAGCAGTGCACACAGGAAGTGGTTGTGGTTGGCAGGCTCTCCCGGAGTGTCTCGGGTTGGATTGGCTGACTTCTGTGGCCTCTGCTCCTGAAACTGCTCTTGCCAGTCTGCTTTAGCTTCTGTTTTTCACCAGCATGTTGGCAAGGAAACCCAGTTACCTCAGCACAGAACTGAGAACTGCAGCCCTAGCTTTCCCCGCTGGCCACCCGGGCACGAGGCTGCCAGTCAGACCGTCCTCTCATTTTCTCTGTTAAGAGCAAGCAGGGACTTTTCATTCTTTTTCCCTCTAGATGTGGCATGAATTTCTTTTCTGGGTGTTAGAGAGAAGTTACATAGAAAGTCAAGGTGTTGAGTAATATGTAGTCTTTAGTAATTCGAAGGGAGATTTTCTAACACTTAATATCAGAAAATCTAGTTTGGGGCCCAGGGAGGTGGCTCAGCAGGTCAAGGCACCTGTTGCTAAGCCTGATAACCCGAGTTCAAGCCCTGGATCCCACATGAGAATAAACTTCCATAAGTTTTCCTTTGACCACACAGGAACCATGTCCTGTGTACCACCTCTTACACAGAATAAATAAGCAAATGTTATAAATGTTTTTTTGTTTTGTTTTGTTTTTTTGAGACAGAGTCTTCCTGTAGCCCCAGCTGTCCTGGAACTCACAGAGAGCCGCCTGCCTCGGCTTCCTGAGTCCTGGGATTAAAGGTGTGTGCCACCATGCCTGGCCTTATAATTTTTTTAAAATGGAAACCTAATTGGGTGTGAGAAATAGACTGTCACTCAGTCTCTGGATTATATCTTATAATGAATTTAAAACTTACACTATTGTTGCTCATAGAAGACTACATTGTAACGTATATCTCCACCTATCCTCTCTTCTACTGTACTGTTTCCTTTAGACTTCAGGCTCGCATAGCTCATAGGATACAAGAACTGGAAAATCTTCCTGGGTCTTTGCCACCAGATTTACGAACCAAAGCAACTGTGGAACTAAAAGCACTTCGGTTACTCAATTTCCAACGTCAGGTAATACCTTTTCCCCAGTGAATCTGATGTATAGAAAATCAATGTAATTGTTCCTAAAATGTGATATGTGCGTTTCCTCTAGTCTATTTAATGTTGTAGTAAAGATAGGAACTTAGTAAAATAAAATAGCATGTCTTTAGACTGACAGCTCATAGCTAAAAGTAATGAGGATGTACTATGTATCGTCCTTTCCCCCTGCTATATATCAGAACATTTTTCTCCCGTTCTATAGTTTACAAAATCAGAGTTGCTATTTTTTGTTACTGTGGATGAAAACCCATGACAACAGATTACAGAGAGCTGTGTCTGTCTTCATGGATCTAAGGAAAACCAAGAAGATGGTAGATCAGTGTTTCATGGTAAGCACAGAGGTGACTTGCTAGCCATGACTGTGGAAACATTTGGACAAGTATGATAGACTGCCCCCTGAATTACTAGCTCATGTTTGTAGCAACACAAACAACAGTGTCTTATACCCTAATTATTCATCAAAAACTAACTTGGAGGCACTTGGACACATCAGATTCGCATGTTGACTAATCAGTGAATTTACTCTCTTGCTTTTGGTAGTCATGTATTAAAATCTGGTATAGTGACTTGTTTTCTGGTTTCTAAATCAGTAGGAGTCTGGTGGAATGAAGTACAACTAATTTCCTTTGGCTGAGTTTTGCCAAAAGGTGTGGGTCCCCCAGTACAAAGACTGTCAGTGTCTAAGCCAGTGGGGATGAAGAGTGTTTGTCAGTCAAATGGGTTTGTGTTGCTAAAGTATAGGACACACAAAATGAATTATTAATGAGTAAAAGTAGTTTAGAAGTGTTGAATTGCACAATTTGGCCTACTGAAGATTCTGACTGCAATCACAAGGCCACCTCCCTTACTATTGTCTGTGAACTTGAGTATAAATTTAGCTTTTTGGTTGTTTTATGGTAGAAGGGCATGAGGTAGCTGGGTGCTACTTGGCTAAGGGTTTGTAAGACTAGATTTCAGAGTAAATTTCAAAAGATGAGGGAAAAAAAGTTCTTCAAGTTCCTTTTACTTCTTAGAGGTAACTTTATAATAGGAATTAATAAATGTTTGACACAGTTTATTAATTGTGGAAACTGGAAGAGATCAGGGCTGAGAATCTGACTTCTGTTTGGGAGACTTTCTAACTGCTCTCTCCCTGACAGCTGAGACAAGAGGTGGTGGCCTGCATGCGAAGGGACACCACTCTTGAGACAGCCCTCAACTCCAAAGCGTACAAGCGGAGCAAGCGCCAGACTCTGCGAGAGGCGCGCATGACAGAGAAGCTGGAGAAGCAGCAGAAGATTGAGCAGGAGAGGAAGCGGAGGCAGAAACACCAGGTCCTTAGACCCAGGGCTTTGTGTACCCGTGCCTGGTCAGAGGTGTCCAGTGGGGTTGTGGACAGGGTGGGAATGTTTGCAAAGTAAGGGCATCATAGAACAGAACAGAAAGGTTGCTTGGAGTTTACATAGTGCAGCCACATCATTTTAAGATGGGAAACTTAAGCCAAGACAGATAAGCAGTGACCACCAGCCCAAGGTCAGTAGCAGGGTTAGAGTGAGGACCCAGCTTTCTTGAATTCTAGTCAAGTGTTATCAGGTGAGGCTGATCTAAGAAAATACCATAGAATGGGTGGTTTAGCAACAGGAATTTATTTCTCAGAGATTTGGAGGCCAAGCCAGGATGCTAGACTGGCTACCTTCTGGTAAGGCCCTCTTCTGGGTTTTAGATGGCTAACTTCCTGTGTCATCACACAACAGGAGGAGAACAAGAGAACCAATCCCATCCTTGAGCTCCTCCCATCCTAATGCTGTCATACTAGGGGAAAAGGTATTAGCATGTGAACTGGGGGACATCTGCAGTCCATAACAGGTATCATATTCATAACTTTACAGGAAGCTGCTGACTAGGTGGTATGAGTGGGTTTTCTTGAGCAAAATCCTGGAGAGAAATAATTTGGCAAAGAACAGGAGACAGCAGAAAGTTATCTTTATAACAGATATAAATTTGGGACCCTGTGCTCTTTGAAGAACCTGGTTGGAAGTCACAGGGGCAAATATTTTAAAACACTCCTTTATAGAATCTTAGAAATATATTCATGCAGAATTTAATTTTGTGTCACAATTATTTATTCTACTGTGCTTAATATAGTACCCAACTTAGTTTCATTTTGAAAAAAAAAATAGTGGATTTTAATGTAAATTGGATGCCCACTGCCCTCCTTTATGTAAAAAGTGAGTTTGGACAGGCGTGGCAATTTTAACTTTGAATAAACTTATTTTGCATCACAATTCTAAATTTAACTTAGAAGAGAAGAAATGTGGTTTTCACTGGAAATGCCCAAGTCCTTTACGTGTATTTCAGGGTGATGGAACAGGGTACCGCCAGTTTTTCATTTGATATTTTGTAGGTTGGTCTCAGTCTTTAATCTTTTCCATTTCAGATGACCACACCCTTGAGGTGAAGACAGACTCTCTTAGGCTCTTATAACCACACAGATAAGGAGGCCTTTTCTCTTACTAGCCCCATAGCCCATAACCTTAACTGCAGAGACACACTAGGGCCTTTATCACCAACTAGATTGTAGTCTTTGAATGTCACATGTATATTGGGTCTTTTTGGATTGTGCTGATACCCATGGGACAGTGGGAAGTGGATCTGAAGTATCCTTTTCTCCTTCTTGCGAATCCTTTAGGAATACCTGAATAGCATTTTGCAACATGCAAAAGATTTTAAGGAATACCATCGGTCTGTGGCTGGGAAAATCCAGAAGCTTTCCAAAGCAGTGGCAACTTGGCATGCCAACACCGAAAGGGAGCAAAAGAAGGAAACGGAGCGGATTGAGAAGGAGAGAATGAGGAGGTTGATGGTAAGGGTCCCATGCAAGGCTGGGAAGGTGCTTGGCTTGCATTTTTCTGGACTGAGAATGTGACATAGGGCAGTGAGAGAAAATAGGGAAATCTGCTTATCAAATATACTTAGTGTCTGTGGTGGAATGGCAACATTTTGTCTTTTCTACACAGTGCACCTAATAATCCAGGATTGTACTTGAGGAGGGTGGTAGTTCTGTGCCCTAGGGCACCATCATCATCCACATTGTATAGCATCTCAAAGAAAAGTAGGTGCTGTATTTGTAGTTCTTCTACATCTGGAAGAATGGCAAAAGGAATTCCTTTAAAAATAAGACCTTGGGCCGGGCGTGGTGGTGCATACCTTTAATCCCAGCACTCAGGAGGCAGAGGCAGGCGGATCTCTGTGAGTTCAAGGCCAGCCTGGTCTACATAGTGAGTTCCAGGACAGCTGGGGCTACAGAGAGACCCTGTCTCCAAAAGACCAAAAAAAGAAAAAAAAAAATGACATTGGGGCTGGAGAGATGACACGGTTTAAGAGCACTGACTGTTCTTGCAGAAAACTTCTGTTTGAATCCCTGCACCCATGTGACAGCTAACAATTATTTGTAACTCCAGTTCCAGGGGATCTGATGTCCTTTTATGTCCTCCACAGGCACTACAGGATATGGGTGCACTTACATACATGCAGGCATAGCACTCATAACACATAAAATAAAATTTTTTTTAAATGATGTCTTGGGGCTAGAGAGGTGGTTCAGTGGTTAAGAGCACTGGGTGTTCTTGCAGAGAACCTGAGTTTGGCTCACAGTACCCACATGGCAGCTAACAACTGCCTGTAACTCCAGTTCCAGGGGATCAGGCACCCTCTTCTGATTTCCTCCAGCATTGCATGACACGGGTACACTTACACACATTCAGGCAATACCCTCATACATACAAAAATAATAAATATTTATATATATATATATATTTTTTAACTTTTACAAAAACTTTATTGAGAATTTCATACATGCCTATAAGGTATTTTGATCAAATCCATGCCCACTCCCTCCCTTCTAACATTTCCCATATCTCCCCATCACATTTTTCTTTTTCTTTTCTTTTTCTTTCATTTATTTATTTTTATGGGGCTTTTGGCTACTCTTAACATTCCCTCCTCTGAAGAGGTAACCCTAAAATCTTTTAAGGATTAGATACAAGCTCCCAAATACTTTTGAAATTTTTGGCCTTTGGAACGGAGTATGTTGCTAAGAGTCCCAAGGACATTTTGACTATTAGCCAAGAAAATGGCTACTTTTCTTTGGGTCTTTTTACCCTAACTGCCTAGCCAATTCCTACCTCCTGTTCTTATCACACCATCCTCTGAAGAGGTTACCCAAATTGCCAATAGGGAATTGGGACGCAGACCACTCTGGTTTCTTCCATGCTTGAACAGGGACACAGGGTGAGGCAATTGGGGTACCCCTTCAGTGGGTCTATCTAAAAGACTTCCAAATTGCATAACTCTTACCTGTAGGGGGAAAAGAAAGTCCTTGACTGGTGAATAGGAGATGTGAAGGAGAAGTAAAGGCAAGAGTAATTAGTATTGCAAGTTCTAGACAGGGAACTAGAAAAAAGTCAGAACAGGGCAATTTTCAAATGTTCATATGAGATCCAATTGGAATTTCTTGACAAGGGCTTCCAAAAGCATTCCTCTATTGGGCTCTTCCTTATTTTTCTTTTGTCTTCTGAGGCTGTACTCTAGAGTGATGGATTCAGGATTTGCTTTCAGATGTTTTGATAGCTGTTGGAGTGGTTAGAATCAATGTCAGTTCCTTCAAAGGCTTCTAGATAGGGGGAGAAAACAAATTTATCCATGATTTTATAACAATAGCTGGTTGTCTCCCTTAGCTAGAGGTGGGCACTACACTATTGGAGACCAAGATTTGAACAATTCAAAGGAAGGTATCTCCTGTCTGTCATTGTTTCCTGTTATGTAGCCTTTAGCTATACACATGGACTCTTAAATTATATTGACCCCTTAAAGTATAAAGTATACTTTCCTTTTGGGTGTTTAAGACCATACAGTTGTCCCAAATAAATCAATTTATTTTTACACTTAAGGTCATCTGAGGATCTGTTCCTCAGGGGTCACATGGGCTTGGGAGGAGCTCCTGGCTCCTTTCTTTTACCAGTTCCATCCATTTAAATATTTTTTAAAATATGATGTCTTTGAGATGAGTGACCGAGAGTTTTTTTTAATGAATAACTCATAAAATCGTGTGTTTGAATCTAAAATTCTCTGTTTCTCTCCTCCCCACCTCTCTCTCCCCTACACCTCCCTTTGCACTTATCATTTTACTAATTATTATTCTCTAACCCTGTAAAAAATGATTTTAAGTCAATTTGAAACTTTTTTGTGGCAGCTCTGTTGGCTCAAAAGCTATTTGGGATCATTACATTTATACAGTTTTTCATGGGTATATAAACACAGAGCAGGTAGGTTTATATCATTGGCTTGAGTATTCAGTTTTATTGACTATTTATTTCTGGAATTTGATAAAGCACAGCATGGACTTACTTGAGAAAAGTAAATAATTGTACAAGTAGTAAGCAACTAAGGCTGGTCCTGGATTCTATTCTTGAGGGGGTGAGGACCAACCCCTGCCTATAAATATGTCCCTGAAAATCCCAAGACATGACCTTCTTTACTGGGATTCCAGCTGGATTTTTTTTTCATTAATTTCATGAGGGGGAGAGGGTCCAGACAGTAAACACTGTTTGAGGTATTCTAAAATCTCACCATCTTCTGCCTCCCTTCCCATTTCTGGGAGGGGAAGGACTGTGGAAGAGATTTCTTCCTAGCGAGGGAGACTATTTTATAGTAATTGGAGCAGTCAGCAGTCAAATTTGTCTGATTCAACTGAAGTAAAACTGTATTAGAACTTCAGTAACAGATTGATTTGACACCAATGATTAGGCACTTGCAAATCATTAATTTTTGCAATTAAATGATGGAATATACAGATAATGGAGAAACTGAACTTTTTTATCACTCTTTCTTCAAGTGAGATCAACCATAGCCAAAAGCAATTAGAGTTATAATAGCATTTGAGGTTCATGCTCATTCACGGAACAGACAGCAGCTAGGCTGAGTGATGAAGCTGCTGTCACTCGGGCAAACGCTGGAGTGACACCCTACAGCTGAAGTCCCCAAGCCTCTGTGGATTGAGCTGCTGCTTTAGAGATTGTACAGCTTGCTCCTCTAATCCAGGCATCACATAGAAATATTTTGGAGTGCTCTTTTATTGGTATGTCTAAAAAGGATTTCTCTGAAAATGGCTCAGAGCACATGAGGGTTTTATTCCATTTAACCTCATAATGTTGCTTAATGGGAGGTGCAGGTGGAAATGATTGTATCTGTTTTATTGCTTAGTAGTACCAGATTTCAGGTGCTAAATGACTTGTCTCCAGTCACTTAGGCCCGTACTCAGTGCAGATCTCTGACAAAGTTTGACCTTTCCTATCAACAATCTTTCTAATGCAAAAAAAGTAATTGTCACTAAGAAATCATTTAAGAACTCTCTTGATTCTTTCTTACTGAAATATTTATGAATGAAGGGATAATAATGTCTAGAATATCTTTCAGGATAATCCAGTTTGAGGTTGTAGGAAGGAGCCTGTAGATCAATAACAGTGAAATACCATAACATGTTCAATGCTTGGTCCTAATTATGTGAACACTGTACCATGCCCTCTACATAAAAATTTTTATTTATTTATTTTTTATTATGTGTTTGAGTGATTTATCTGCATGTATATAAGCACATCTGTGTTGTGCAGTGCCTGCAGAGGCCAGAAAAGGATCCCCTGGAACTGGAGTTATGGATGGTTATTGGCCACCATGTGGGTGCTTGGAACTGAACGTGAGTCCTCTGCAAGAGCAGCCAGTGCACTTTACCACTGAACCAGCTCTCCAGCCTCCAGTGTTCTCTCTACTTTTAAGCATATTTTAATATTTACAAAATACATGGTTAAAAATAAACTTGAGATGGTGACTTATCGATGTTTAACATTAATTTTGTACAGTTAAACACAGGAGAGCAAAGAGCTCACATCAAGTGCTTGATCACACCAGGTACACAGTGGGCTTTGTGCACTAATTTTGCTGAGAGGGCCCAAGGTGTTGGGTGTCTCTCTGTCTACCTAGATCCAAACTCCATATGACAGCTTGTACACCCTTGGCTCAGTTTTTTGGCCCCAGTCACCACCAAGTTCAGATTGTGGAAAGGAGAGAGGGGTATGAAATGAAGCTGTGGGTGTTCATGCATTGAACTGTCATAATTCTCTTCTTCCTTAACAGGCTGAAGATGAAGAGGGCTATAGGAAACTGATTGATCAAAAGAAAGACAGGCGCTTAGCTTACCTTTTGCAACAGACTGATGAGTATGTGGCCAATCTGACCAACCTGGTTTGGGAGCACAAGCAGGCCCAAGCAGCCAAAGAGAAGAAGAAGAGAAGGAGGAGGAAGAAGGTAAGCCCTCTGGGCTGACAGGTTCAGTCTGTGATATATGAGCAAATATTAGCTTTAGATGAGTATTGCTCTCTGGTAAGAACCACTCTATACACTAAGTTTAGATTACTGACTTGTAATCGTCACATAGATTATTATGGTGTAAAAGTAGACAATGTGTTAGAGATAGGGATATAATAATATTACTGAAATGAAGTAAAGCCTTGTCTATATTCCCACTGTTTAATAAAGTGTAACATTTCTAACTAAGTGTACACAGTCAGTAGGAGAAAGAACATAGGCTCAGACATGCATTTGCTTAAGTTTAATGTGAGTGTGACCAGGGAATGCTGGGTTAAGAAAATGGATTAACAGGAGACTGCAGTGTATAAAAGAAACAAGACAAAGGATATGTGGGATAAGTAGGGATGCTTTAAGCACAAACTTCAGCCTATTTGTACAGACAATAATGGCAGAATTCTTTATTCAGTTCTCCTGTCCTGGTGGCACAGTAAGTATATAGACATGGTGGTTTCAGAAAGTTATATGAAAAAACTGCTGTCAAATACGTAATTATTACACAAAATATGAAGGGCAAAACACAGTACTGCTGCTCTGCAGAAACTGTGCCTCAATTTAGGAGTGCTTTGCTGAGTAAGAACCTGAGTATTTAGATCTTCTTGGATGTTGAAGGGCCCAGTTAACATCCCACAGATAGAGGGCTTGGCCTTCATGGATTCTGCTAACCAAGGATCAAAGATACGTGGAAAAGTATTCTGTCTTCATTCAAGATGTACAGACATTTTCCTGGCACTGTTTTCTTTCTTCTTAAAAAAATTATTTATTATTTTTATTTTATGTATATAAGTGTAAGCCTGCATTTTATGTATATAAGTATAAGCCTGCATGTAGGTAGGTATACCTTTGTCATGCACTGCTTGTGGAGGTCAGAAGAGGACATCGGATCCCCTGGACGGACCAGCCCTTTCCCTTCTCAGGTGTGCAGTATATTTTATTTTGTTGGGTTTTTAAAAATATTTTTTATTAGTATTTTATGTGAATGAGTGTTTTGCATGTATATAAGTGCATTAAGTGTGTGCAGTGCCCAAGGAGGCCAGAAGAGGGCATCAAAGCCCCTGGAACTGGAGTTACAGATGGCTGTTAACTGCCATGTGGGTACTGGGAATTGAACCTGGGTCCTCTGCAAGAGCAGCCAGTGCTTTTAGCTACTGAGCCATCTCTCTAGCGCCCAGCACTATTTTCTAAACAGCCTAACAACATACATTGTAGAGGTATTATAAGTAATCACAAGATGGTTGAAGTGTGCAGGAGTATGCCTGTAGGTGACTTGGAAATACTGAGACATTTTATATGAGAAACTTGTGCATCTTTAGATTTTGGTCTCCATAACAGTCCTGGAACCACTACCCTGTGGATACAGAGGCTTGGGTGACTATATTTTGCTTTCATGATAAATTCTGATTAGACCAGGTACAAATATCAACAGAAAATGTTCATCAGAATTGGTAAAACTTGAGGCGCGGTAGCATTTAATCATTTATTCTCTACCCTGAATAATTGAACAAAATGTTTTTCAAAAAATAATTAATTTCATGGCTCCTGAATTCTCATACCTGTTTCATAATTAAGGAGGAGGAATAAATGATTGAGAAGGCGCCTTCTTGTACCTGCTTTCCTTAGCATAAGACAGCTCATCTTATTGTGAAGATGAGCGAGGGATGACTCAGGGCTTGAATTTAGACACTATTGGTGAGGAACGCCTCATTTTCTTGTCAGTGTTACATTATAGACTTGGTGGAACTCTAGCTCCTAATTTCTGATTTAAAAAGATACTTTCAGAGCCGGTAAAAGACACTCAGGCAAACAGATAAAATTCTGTAATATTCTGTAAGCAGACCCCATTAAATGACAGTTTTAATTTTTCTTAGTCCAGCTACATTATGCAGAGCTTGTCACTTTAGTGTTTTTAGCATTAAAGTTCGTATTCTGTATTCCTTTGTGATTAAAAGCTAATGGCCTGGATTTGAGCTTCCAGTTTATAATGAATAGATTCCAGCCTTGGAATTAGGTAGTCATATCCTCACTGGTAACAAAAGAGATGACTGAGTGTTGACCATTATGCCTGTATTTAAGTTAATCTGTGCATAGCAGGGATCTGTCATGATTTTTCTCATGGTGCTGTCCACTCTCTCAGATCTATAGATTGGCATGCACCTTACAAATTCTTATTGTCAGGTTTGCTGAAAGTCTTTATTCTTTCTATTTTATGCTTTCATTCACCAACATTTGACATGAGCGTAGGGAGTGTGCTAGAGGAAAGCAAAGTGATGCCGACAGACAATTAAACATGCACCCAAATAAATAACTTTAAACTGTGATGCATGATATGAAGGAAAACTGAGAGTCAAATTGGAGGTGAAGCCTGATTACCTGGCAAACACACAGTAGTAGATTCAATGAAGGAGAAACGATGAGCTTTCTCCTTATGAAGCACTCTGAGCATCTTCCATAGATTGCCAGCCACCTACCTCTCACCTTGGATGGCTAGCACCTGAGCATCCTGTGTCCTTAGAAGGACTAAGGAGATGGGGCTCTGTTTCTTTCCCAGACTGCCTTCCCAGGAAAAACTGGCACGAAGAAAGGGAAGAGAAGAATAAAGGAAGGAGTGAAGAGGGGAAGGGAGGAGGAGAGGGGAAGGAAGGATGGAAAGAAACCGTCTCTTCTTAGCCTTTCCAAAACCCCAGCGGTTTCATGGGGATTTAAGACAGCTTAGAGTGAAGTATCTAGCTCCAAATGCACCTTTATTCACGTGCGAAGGAAGGTATGCTTTCAAAAGCTGATTATTTAACCCTTCAGATTATCTGTACTTCTTCTCCCCTCCATCAGAGAGAATGATTGAGAGTTGCGTGTTCCAGCTTCTGTGTTGGAGGAAACATCTGCGTCTGTAAGCTGCAGAACTCTGTGCTGTCCCTTTCAGCATTTTCTCACAGTATTAAAAAACATGCCATCCCTGTCCATATTCTGAAAAATTAAATGAGGCCTCAGCATGCTTTCGTTTTGAGAAAACTGGCATTGCTCAGTGAGGTAATAGCCCTGAGCTTGTTGCAGCACTTGAAGGATTGCAAAGATGAAGACAACTGAGGTACAGGACTGAGCCATTGAAGAGCATGGCTGACCTTGAAATCTAATTGGAAAAGGATTACTTTTGACTTTCACTGTTAAACGAGCATATAATTTGGTTTTTTCTTTTCTTTTTAATCACCCAGCATAGCAGAGAAGGCCTTTGTTGTTCTTGGAGAATTTGTTGTTTACTGTTGTTCGTGAATAATAGGATTGGTTTCCTATAACCTGTCATGACCTTGTTTAATTCAATTCCTTCCCCATTTGGTGAGCTTCTAAGCAGTATGTTTATAAATCACTTTGAACTGTCTCATTCTCAACCTGGTCTTCCATTATTGGCCTTGAAACAGGAGAGGAAAAAGTTAGCTCTATGTATGTACTGAAGGGTTAGAGGAAGAATAGGATAATGAATTATGGGGAAGCAAGGGTTTGGGGGTGAATGCTGCTATGAGCATTTAGCATGACCTTGAGGGCTTTGTTCTCTACCCAGATGCTCTTTGATATCCATAGGTGGCTACAAGATAAAGGATGGGGCTAGATAAAACGACCAGGCATATGTATGCAGGACTGAACATGGGATCACACTCCAAATCATGTTAGCATGCAGCCTTTAAAACACAGGCATACTAAAACACAGGCATAATAAGAAAACACAGGCATACTAATTTGCTGTTAGTTCCTTGTAGGGTATTTTACCGAAAGATGTGTTATTCCATGCTCTGTCTATTGATCTGTTAAAGGGGTGATAAGAGGGTGGCTTTTTTACCCTCTAGTTCTATTGTGAATGAGGCTTACTTGCAAAGTTTATCTAAACTGTTTAGAACACTTCCTGGCATACAATTAATGCTCAGTAAGTACTCATTAATATATTAGGCAATTCTGTGATAAAAGGTGGAATCATGATTGTTGAAATTTGCTTGGGTTCTTTTGGTTTGTTTGTTTTGTTACTGAAAATAAAGTCCTGGGCTGGTGAAGATGGCTCAGCAGATGCTACCTGCCACCAAGTCTGACTCCTGAGTTCAGTCCCCAAACCCACAATGGTGGAAGGAGAGAATTGACTCCTGCAAGTTGTCCTCTGACTTCCACATGTATGCAGTGGCACATGCATATAAAATTTTTATAAAATGTGATAAAAATTAGAGAATAAAGACTTTTCCTTTAAAAAAAAATCTTACTGCATATTTTAAATGATGTTCAATGAAGTAAATGCTCATTTCTTGTGGGGTTTTTTTTTGTTTGTTTTATTTTTTGAGACAAGGTCCTATGTAGCACAAGCTGGCCTTGAACTTGTTCCATAGCCCAAGGAAGACCTTGACTTCTACCTCCCAGGTGTTGAGATTACAGGTTTGATCCAGCACAGCCAGCTCATTCCTGTTCTAAAAGAGGATCAGTTGTATATAAGTAGAGGAAGTCTTTCAGGATAGGGATAGATTCTTTGACTATTGTGGCATGTAGGAAGAAAATGAGGATTTATTATTTTAGTGACTCTGCTTACTACAAGGCTCCCCAACTCTACAGAGGGAGTTTTCTGATCTACATGGCCTCTAAGTTAGAGTGGTTCCTGGTGATGATAAGCTGTTTCTCACATGATACACTTTGCTTAAGCTGTGGCTAAGATCTTGCCAGACACACCCTCAACGCCTACTTAGTCCAGTCATCTCAGTGGTTCCACTTCCAGAGCTATTTGACACCAAGCCAAGCTTAAATATATAACCCTGACTTCTTACATCTTCATGGAATGTGCACCAGTGGAACTGTACTATTGTTTTTGGTGTTTCAAGAAATTCTATGATACTAATGGGCATGTGCTTCTAGCACACATGGGCATCACTGCCAGATAGCACTTTCACCATGGGTCTGATTTATTTTGGGTAATACCA